GATAATATATTAAGTAATCCAAAGTATTCAGAATACGTTACTCTCATTGAGTAACGTAACGGAATACGTTACAGAATACATTTTGGGGCATGTATTCTGTATTCTGTAACGGAATACATTTTAAAATTAACCTTCCCAATACTGTGTATAAACTATATCATTTATCGTACACTTGCACAAATTTAGGCTAAAAGGCTAACCTACTGGGTAAAAAAAACTCATGTACTTTCAGAAATTTTAGATTCCATCAGCATAGGCTTGTTTAAGCAAAAAATGTTGGGAAAAAAATTCTTTCTGGAAAATGTTAACATTTATAATTTCATACATGACACTTGAGAGCAGCATTGTGCCTTTGTGGATTACAAAACAAACTACAACTGCTGTAAAGGCAGTGTAGTTGCAGTTCTGTGATAATATTACAGTCAATATTAATGTTCTTCTAAATAAATGGACCATCAGTCATCAGAGTTTCTTTGACCTTTTATGAGATTTGTTTGTAATGAAACTTGAAAAGATAAAACATGGAGTTGTGTAGAGGATGTGTTCTTGGCAGGATATTAATTGTAAAGTAAATCGCTGATATTTACTCAGAAGCCAAATACCACCCCTTTCCTTACAGTTTACACATTTTAAGTCTATAACATACAGCATAACATTTGAACTTGACATTTTGGTGAGAAACATGCTGAATTCTTTCTTCCAAGCAGGTTAAACCTATTCACCTGTTTTTGTTTTTGTTCTTTCTGCAAAGGTACAGAAGAGGAAAGATAAGTACCAGTCCCCAGTATTTCATGTAATTAATGCAACTAAGTTGATTTAAAAGTTTTACACAGCAACAATCAAGTTTGTTTCAGTTTGCTAATTACCTACTAATAATCAAAGTAGTGCCTGCAGTAGTACAGACAGAAAAAAGCCAGTCACAATAAGATGCTGGAACACTAAACTGATGTTGTAGATATTAACTAAAAGGGCTAACACGAAATTATTTTCACCCAATGACAAAGACAGATAAAATGCAGATCACTGTTATAGTTGCATTTTTCATTCGTTATAGCATGCATTTTTGTTCACTGGTGATGTTATCAGTATCATTAAGACTATGCTGATGACCTTTTACATACATAAATATTCAATAAGAACTGGTTTTAATCCATCATTCATTGAAACTATTGTCATTTCATCTCATAACTGGTGGAGTTATGAGATTCCTTTCCTGAAAATTTAGGTCTAAGTAAAACAGCCAGTCTTTAAGTCATGGCTGTACTTGGCTATACATGTTTATGTTAAAGTCTGTTATGAAGTATTGATCACATGCCTGGTATTTTCAGTCTTTAGTAATACATTCTAGTTAAGCTGGTTTTGAATTACAAACCCAAGTATTATTATTTTCATCCAGAACAGTCTGCTGTGTTTAAAGGACTACAGCTCATATTAGCTGATGCTCTCTTACTATCGTTAAGAAAGTAAATTATAAAAAAAAAAACCTTTTAAAACCCTTGGAGGGTCTTAAGGACATTTATTGTCCTTAGGCATAAAGGTGGATGTCTTTTTAAGGACCCTCCAAGGGTTAACTTGTGATTTATCAATTTGCAATCCTCAAACCATTACGCAAGTCTCTTCTCTCACTAGGTGTATCAACGGATGGCTGCCGGGTTTGTGGAGGAAACAGGTGGTTCTTTATGCTTGACTGCTGAGACTGACTGATGCTGTCTTGCTGATGTTTTTGAGCACTGTGCTCTTTGTCATCATCATCAACATGGGCCATGTTGCTGTCAATGTCTGAATCCAAATCACTGCCTTTAAGTGTGGGACAGCCACCAGAGTACTCGATCTCCTCAGCACACGGAGGCTCATCGTCTTCAAAACAGCTGCATGAAAGAAGAAAGAATTGCCATGTTAAGTCTTGTTCACCAAAAACAACAAACTAAGTTTTATGTAAAACACACTGTGTAAACACACAGCTTGCTTGCTTGCAGCAGTGGCATCAGGTGTGTTTTGCATCAGCAGCTGTTCAAATTCAAATTCAAAATTCAAAATTTTATTTGTCACGTACACAGTCATACACAGTATGATATGCAGTGAAATGCTTAGACAACTGCTCGTGACCTAAAGAAAAAAAGAAAAGGCTGTGAATAAGATAGGAAATAAATATGAAAATTAAAAAGGGTAAATTTAACTAGGAAGGAATAAAATAAAATGTAAAAATTAAAGTTAAAAATGAAATAACTGTACAACACAAATTAGAATGAAGGGTAAATTTAACTGGGAAAGAGTTCATCACCTCTTCCCATAAATACCTGAATTCCACTCGAACTGCCCTGGTTTAAGCACTGTCCTCCCTGCTGCGACATGGAAAACCCACATGTGATAAGCCGCCCTAGAACGGTAGCTTACTTGTGAGACTTGTGGTCCAGCATGTTGTGGTCCAGGTCAATATGGTTGATGAGTTTCCTGCTGTATAGAATCCTTGTGTCTTTGGTTACAGACAACAGACTGTGGCAGAACTTCATCCCCATTTCCTGGTGCTCCTGGGTTCCTGTCTGCAGCCCCTGTAACAACACACAGGCACACACACAGACACGCTCCCCTCCTGAGCCAAGTTAAGTATATTATACATCCTGAAAATTTGTGCACACTGCCCAATGAGAGACATTTGTTAGGAACACGCTACTGGATTTTTTACAAACCCAATCCAAATAAAAGCTACGATGCTGTGTCAAATGAAAACAAAAAGAGATCTGCAAATCTCATAAAAGCATATTTTATTCACAATAGAGCATAGAGAATATCGTAAATGCTTAAACTGAGACATTTTACTATTTAATTAAAAATACTAATCTTTTTTTAAATTTGATGGACCAACATGACTCAAAAGTGCCCTTCTGAGGCACAGCAGAAGGAACAGTTTACATCAAATTGGAACAACTGACAAGATGTCAGTAACATAATAGGGCATGAAAAGAGCATCTTAGTCAGGCAAAGATTCTCTGAAGCAAAGCTTATGCAAAAGTTCAATAAGGAAGATCTTTAATCACTCATCTCCCTGCTATCATGGGTTTGCAGCTACTAGCTATTCTTTACTTTACATTCGTTTTATCATGCTGCCAAACTCAATTCTTACATCACTGCTCTAGCCCAGTCATGTTTTACCCACCTTTTCCAAGAAAATCAGCTTCGTCTATGCACATTTTTATATCTCAGTGCTCTTCTGTGGATGTGTGGGGTGGGTGCTGTCCCATCACTGGTGGGATTCTGTTCTGCTATGATGGGTCATTTGAGTCTAATCACCAAATAGTTTAAGGGAATTGTACAACTTGCATATCTGGAAAGGCTCCAGAAGATTAGCAACAGATGCTTTTTCGGGGAAGTCCTTGCATGACTCAGCAAGACAATGCTAAACCTCATACTGTGACAACAGCATTGCTCACTAACAGCAGATGACCTGGACTAGCCTGCCTGCAGTCCAGACTGGCTTTATCCATTTGAAAACATTTGAAGCATCATACAGGGAGTGCAGAATTATTAGGCAAGTTGTATTTTTGAGGAATAATTTTATTATTGAACAACAACCATGTTCTCAATGAACCCAAAAAACTCATTAATATC